CCTCTTCCTTTTCATACTGTCCACCATTGCCTACTCCTAATCACAACTAACAACACTTGTGTTTCATTCTTAGGACCACCCAAGGGACGCTGAGTTTTTTAAGACACCCATACAGAACTAGAATCAGATGCAGCACATCTTCTCCTTCGGGCTGGCAACTGGGAAGCATGCCACATGGGCTCGGGGGAGCCTCTTGGTTCTCCCATGCCAGACTTCCCTAGGACCCCGGACTTCGAGGTCCTTGATGGCCCTGACAAGCCCGCCGAGAAGCCCTTCGACAAGCCATTTGACCCCATCCATGATAGGAAGAGGAAGAGAGGAGGCCTGATGGAGGAGGAGATCAATGTCTTTTGTAGCATGACTGAGGCGGTGAAGGAGGTGGCAACAACCATCAGTGAGTGCAAGTCCCTCGACGTCCACCCTGACCTGTATGGTGCTGTCATGACCCAGGGTGGCTTCGGCGACGAGGCTCTCATGACAGCTCTCAGCCACCTGCTTGACAACAAGGCCCAGGGTGTTGGGTTCGTTGCCATGGCAGACGCTCACATGATGCTGTGGCTCAGGAGCTGGCTGGGCAAGCACTACTACTAGAGTAGTGATGTGAGCGTGCATGATCCCCGACGGCGATGGCGATGGCAATGACGACGACGATGACGATGACGACGTACATTTTGTGTAGCTAGGGCTGGAAAACTATTTGATGGTCTGTATATTTTGGTGAGGTGGTACATACTAACCCCTTACGATGATGGTGAACTTGCGGTGGTAGGACGACACCCTCTTTTGGATGTGGTTGTAGGATAACACCATGGTAGTGTTAGGTAAAACTTGCTATGCCGTATGATCATGCATGCTTTACTTCTTCTCTTTCCATTGTTGTTTGTGTGCTACTTTGCTTGCTACTTGTGTGCTTCATTGGTTTGCTGCTTCAACTCTTGCTCTTGTGCATTGCTAGGGCAAGTGGTATGTTGTGTTCATCGGTAAGGCTCCAGGGGTTTACAGTTCATGGGAAGAAGCCAGTGCACAAGTGGCATCGTATAGCAACAACAACCATAGAGGGTTCAAGACTAGGCAGGTAGCAGAACAAGTTTACTCCTACTAGGTGCGAAAGCACGGAGGCAGCAGTGTTGACAGAGGCAAGGTTGGAGGTGTCAAAGTGGAAGGTGCTAATGTGGATCGTCAGTTTGGGTTGAAGCTGAAGAACTTCATCATCTTCGCCCAGTTCATCGCCATTGATGTGATGTGGCATTGGTGTGCTAGGTGTGATCATTGTGGGTAAGCTCACCAACTAGGGTACAAGGTAAGCACATCATGTGCGCCGTATGCAACCAAACACCTTGTCCATGTGCCGCTTGGGCAAATGCAGGCAACCAAACAAAGTGCACTTGCGCATTACCTAATGCAGGGACCCCAGATGCAGGCAACCAAACAACTTGTAAATGGCACATTACGGCATGTTTTTGCTCAACTAGGCTGGGTTGAGAAGTGTATGCAATGCAGAAACTGTTCACAACTTGAACCAAACACGCCCTTATAGTACATGATAAACATGTTCACTTGTTAGCACGCACCCCGCCCACAAAATATAATATTTGCGCACAAACCTAAGATTTTTGACCAACACTAGAAAGAACCATTTTTTGCCTGCAAATGTGCACAATGCTACTCCTTCATTTGGTCATATGCCTTCGAGATTATGTTAGCCCATGCATGTCGATTTAATCATGCTGCTAAGTCTAGCTGGTCGATCGAGCATACAATTAATAGAGAGAAATTTTCTCTAGATCAGGTCACTCCACAGCACAAGAGATAACTCTGCTAAACGAATGTATCTTTTACTTCCTTTCTTTAGTTAAATATTAGTTGTGCTGGAAGGTAATAGAATTGGTGAATTAGTGCGATCCTAAGAAAAAAACCGTCCCTACAATATTTGACCAAATAAAGTAGCTTGGTCAATCTTGACGAATGCATAATTCTGGCAACTGCACTTTCATATCTATCTAATGCAATCGACGAAATGACCCTACGCAACAAACAAGTATAAATATTTCAGCACCACTAATTTGTTTAATTTTCTATTCTCCATTCAAATACGGGAATTATCTCTCGAATCAAAAAGCTAGTGGCTGCTTGGACATTTTTGTCCCCCAAGGTAGTTCCAGCAACGTAACTATAAAGGCATTCATAGTCAATTCAGATTTTGTGCATTATGAAGTTGGTTAGAGGTATGATGCTCGGTGCGATTATTCCCACTGTCCTTATGACCTGACAGGTATGAAGAAGGGTGGAGAAATTGTGTTTACAAATACTGAGGCATGCCAAATACTACTAAATAAGGATACTCTAAATCTAGCCTGGGTTCTTCGAAAAGAAGATCTGGCCTGGCTACAGGTAGCCTTTAGCTTCTTGCATGTCAAAAGGAATGTTTTCCCTTTGGCAACATTGGTGGTTCAGTGCCATTGTAGATAAAAGCTTATCCTAAACCAAGGTGTTGTAGATGTTATGCGTCAAACATTTCAAATCATCTTCACGCCATGCTGGTATTGCCATATTTCTGAAAATCACAAAAGGGCTGAAAAATTCTTTACAAATTGCAAACACAAAAGCAAGAACGTCTTAAACTTAGTTCCATCTATATGCAAAGACACGCGGTAATCTCACAGATTCAAAGCGACACTTGTGCCATAACTAACATCATTAATTATTACCACCTACCACTTGATCCAGAAGCCCTTGCTCCTGCAACTTGAGCTTGAAAAACACTTGAATACCAAACTCATCACCCCTGGGCCGGAGAAGCTGCATCCATTGCTGCAGAAGTGCAGGAATTTTGAAAATATTATCATAATGCGTATGTTTACTTGCTAAGTTCTGTGTTTTGAGTTCATGTTGCTAAAATGCCACTAACATGTTGCTAATACCTGGGATGTAGAAGCTCGTGTAGGGAAACGATTCTGTGCCATGACGGGTTACCTTCCTCGCTCGCCCTAACTTGAGGTCCACCATGTAGGAATCAACACTTGTGCACACAAAGATGACTTGGGTGCCTTCCGCGAAGCCACTAATCTCTAACCCATCGGGCGGCAACCTCCTATATTTTGTTGGGATCGTGAGGGCATAAGCATCAAAACGGGTTGGGATTGAGAGGGCACCATCAGGGAGTAGCTTATTAAGATCAATTACCCTGAGCTTTGTCCATCCGATGGCACCCTCCAGTCCGGCCTCCCTTGACCACAGCGTTAGATTTGTGCCATCCACCAGTGCAGCAAATCCCAGGCCCCCGTCTTCCGCCGTCACGAGAGTGCCATTGCCAATGATGGGCTTCTCGAACATTGCCAAGCATAGTGTACGGAGGAGGTGTCTGACTGGTTCGGTCAGCCTTCTGCTAGTTGGGTCCGGGCTAGGAAGCAATTATACGAGAGTTAGTTTTTAACAAAATTTCTTGTGGAAATGAACTTTTTGGGGGCTAAACGAAGAGATCGATTTGTAGCACGGTGTCCCATCGTGATCGTGGGGGTGCTTGGGCACTCATGGTCGGGACTGTCGCACTGGTTTTCACGATCATGCCCCTCGCCTTGGCTCCCGGTAGGCACGTACCTTCCAACGTGTTACTCCGACCGGTCCGGCGCCCATCATCGCAACTTAGAGTGCTTTGACATGGCACAACAACGACGATGCATGGCTGTGTAGAACTCGAGCAATTGAACGATTTCCATCCGCACATAGAAATGATGTCATGGCTCGGAATGGTGAAGAAAGAAAATAAAATTAGTTCAAAGAGGCTTGATTACATGGATACATGTCGACTGTCGTAGATCAGAACAAGCACACAAGGCGCACCAGACGCATGCACGCACACACACTCGCTATGTTCGTACCAAGATCTACGGTCTATATAGACACGACACGTCTTAGAAATTTCTGAAGTCATCCGACCCCATGAACAGATACATCATCACCCCTATGGCCCATAGATGTGCGAGGGAAACATTACCCAAGGTGAAACACCCATATCAATCCCAGCGATCGATCTTGAATGCCGCAGATTGGTTGGCCATTACCACAACCAACCATCCAGCCACGGGCTCGTCCTCGTCTGACCGAATATTTTAGAGGAACGGTTATATACTAAAACAAGGATTTGCTCCTCACTTTGCAGCGAAGCCAAAGAAGAGGTGATGCACTTTGATCTTCCGTTTCCCATGTTGACGCGGCTACAGTTCGGATAAGTCCTCATGAGAGCTAGCTACCTTGGTGTCCCGGTAGGTGAGGTGAAAAGTGGTCTTCTTTTGACAATCCCCTCATGAGAGCTAGTTACTCGGATGGATTACATTCCCAAACAAAGCAGGTTATCAGTAGCATAGTAGTTGTTTTACTCATCTTATCATGCAAGCTTGACCTCAGTGGATTTTCGATATAACGCCAAAATAAGTTCAGTTTCAAGCATTTCTCCAGCAATGCCGAGAGAATTGTGCCACCTCGACGGCTCTGCAATGCCTTCCCACAGCAGCACATGAACTGCTTGTGGAGAAAACTGCCACTGTGTGTATATTGTCAATTCCAGACTTCAACTTCTTAGTGAAATGCATATGCAGTATACAGATATGAATTTCCGAGCAATTGGAAGCCGCTTTCGACGACGAGGCCAATAAATTGATACCACGCGATCGTTACTGTCCATATTTTTTAAGCTCTGCTCCCGCAAAGAGAAAGAAGACTGAAAAACAGGAACATTCTTTCACAGGTGACTGCTTTAGATGAAGTCAAGTCTTCTGCTGGGAAAAAAACAGAGAGAAGAAAAACGAGAGAACTGTCCACGCTTCGGATTCTACATGATGTTTGGGTCTTTCTCCATAGCCGGTTTCCATATCTCACTAGATCACACGGTGACTGCAAAGGTCTTTTCAAACTGCAAGCAGCCAAGCAGCGAAACAGCAACTTTACTAACTGCAAGCAGCCAACCGGATGATCCAATACTATCACTACTACCACATCCCCAGCTAGAGCTTGACAAACACTTGAAACACCAGCTCATTACCCCTGACCCGTGGAAGCTGCTTCCATTGCTGCAGAAATGCAAGAAATTTAGAATGTAAAATATATTGATTGATGGATCATATTTATTTGCTTACTCACCAATTGCAATCACCAGGACCGGACCGACACATCGCACTAACACAGACACAGAACGTAGATACATACATTTATAGAATCATTAAGAGTATGGACTTGTACTCGAAAGGGACACCACTTTTTCTTGAGCACATATGTCGTCATGTGTAAGGCGACTAGCTAACAGACATATTTTCATTTCATGTTTCTAAGTGCCACTGAAAGATTGTAAAAGGGGATCTATTATATACTAAAAGTAATTTACAGGCTAATCAGAAAAAGGGGGAATATACTAGAAATTACCAAAAATAATCAGAAACATCTTACCATTCATTACACGGAGCCATATTATTATATACAGAATTAACGGATTAGATATAAGCTAAGCTAGGGATGTGTTCGCATGGGCGTGCAGCTGTCCACACGCCCTTGAGTATGCCATGAATCTCACAACCCATTTCAGAGTTCAGGAATTGATCATGGAAATGAATTTGCACCATGTGTCCCTGCCACGCCTCCTACCTAAACCCTTGCACCGTCACTTCCTACCGTCCGAGTTCCAACGCCCATTGTCGGCCCTTCCTGTTTTCTAGCTGCACGACCAATATGAGCCCTCACTATCATCAACCCCTTTGTCATGAACAATCCTCCCCTTTGCTTTTTCTCAGGTTCATCATCGCCCAAGTCAGGTCGAAACACCTCTCCATCTCCATCCAGCCCACATGCACAAGAACACCACCGCTCCTGGGTGATGCCTTATAGTGGTAGGCTGCTCTATTAAACATGGTGGTCAGATACATGAACATGCCCGCCTCACACCATGCCTATCGTCCGCAGCCGCCCGGCCATCACCCTCAACGGCGACCTGCAGGACATCTCCATCCTCAACTTATCTACTAATCTGGTTAGTCCTCTACCTCCCCTCATCGTCGAATTTAGAGGACAATCCTCTTTTTTTCAGTTTCTCATCTTGTGATGCACTAGAAAGAAGCGAGCCAGATTGCAGCGGGGGAATATAATCCTTTATGAAGGCCATCAAGAGACCCATGTAACATAAAGAGAAAAAGGTGAAGGAAATACGATCTTCCAGCATGGCGATCAGCAAAGCAAGTACAGAGACATATATATTCCCTTTTGAGATCATACGTGTTCTTTTTCACCTTCTTGATTTTACCTTATGCTGCTGCCAAGTTCAGGGAGAGCCCATGCAGAGAATGTTATTATGGATTTCTGTTACATGTTAGTTTCTGAGGACTAGGCCTTTGGTTGAAGATGCGCCTGGATTCCTTGGTCGCTGCATATATATTTAATTTATTCATGCATCAGATTTGTATTCTGGGCAGAAAAGCTATGTATGGATTCCTTGCTCGCAACCTATTTAATTTGTGTGTGTATGCCATTCCATCTTGCCAGATAAGACGTTTGACAAATTTTATAGAAGGAAGCAGTTAATTGTTCTCATTCCCTGTTGCAGAATAGCATTAGCTACTCAAGTCATCTTCAAATCAAATGATTGCTCTGAAGAAATTTTGCTTTTTTGGACACCGTGATGAAATTTTCTTTATTTTGTTATTTATCAGATATCAAAACGTGACAGATTTTTAACATGCCCATTCTCTTGTAGGAGGGTTGTTTGCCTATCTGAAAGACTTAACTATTATCAAAATGTCATAATTCTTACATGTATCTAGCTGTTTGTTCCTTCAATCTCAATATGGAATCGATTCTGCTCGCAAGCTGCCAAGGTACATGAAATAGCGTTCATTCACCACCGATCTTTTTTTTGTTGAAGTAAACTGAAATTACATTTCTAGGTAATCTTCCAATTTTAGTATCTTTTGCATCTAACATTATTAAATAAATGCAGGCTTATTTAGTTGAATATCTTTGTTTTGATAGTATATAGGTTGGGGCAACTTCATTTTTAGAATTTCATTGCTTTACTAGATTAATTCATACTTCCTTAATGTCTCTTCAAGCTTCCATTTTGGACATCAACACGGCTTAGAAAACATAACTTCGACTCTTTGACCATATTCTAATTGAATATATCTGTAAAATAAAATTATTGACATAATATATTTGTTAAAACATCTATTGTGAAAGTATGTTTTAAGACAAACTTATGCATATCATTTTCAAGTTCCTAATCCAGATATTTAAATGTTATGTGGTCGAAGTTCCAAAAGTATAATTCTAACTATGTCCAAAACTAGAACTCTTAGAGAACTAGAGGTAGCAATGGCGGAGCTTCATGAGGGCAAAAGTTGGCCGTCACCCGCCCAGCCAGGAGGGAAAACAATTATATATATGCCAGCCCAGTCCATTAGCAGACCAAAACATCCATCTAGGGTTCAGCAATGCCTGTCGACCTTGCATCCATCTAGGGTCCAGCAGTGCCTCACATCCAGCTCTGAGCTCTGCCCACGATTCAACATGCCCAACTTCTTTTAGCTTGGCTAAAGGAGAGCATAAATGTTGAAATATGGGGTGGGCTTTAGGCCCATCTTACAATTTCAGAAAAATCTCTAAGGGCCCATGTGGGTGTCATGACAAGGGGTGGGAAGTTTAGTCTCACCCCGCTAGTGGAGGAGTTGGACCTCCTTATAAGGGATTCTCTTCCACATGCTATTGGAGCTTGAGAAGAGAAGAGACCCTCGCGCACTCCTCCTCCGCCGCCCGCCTCGCCGGAGGTTGCGGGATTGAGCCAAGCCGAGCTCTCATACCTATATGTGAGACGTTGGCCAACCCTAGCCGCCACTAACAGATCGCGTCTACTCCACGCGCAACACCCCTGACGTTCCCTTTGCTGCTGCTGCCACCGGCAACTCCATCATGTACACGGTTGACGAGAGAACATGCCTCCGAAACCCCGCCTCTCCAGATCATGTACGGGAGAGGGCGATTAGCTTTTGGGGAGCGACTACGCGACTGCTCGCCTCCGATCGATTAATTCCTCTATGTTTGCGTCGTTGCCATGTCCACCGACGCCGACAAAGCCGCCGTTGAGAAGAAGGCCGCCGAGGATGCCGCTACTGCCACCGCCGCTGCCGCGGCCTCTGCCTGGTCGATTGGAGGGTATAACCCGTTTATCCCGCTCCTACTGATTTCTGTTTTAGCCATGCTAGCGTTATACGTAGATGTGTCTGCCGTTAGCGTAGTATGTGCTTGCATGATCAAATATCAGCATGTGTTTATTTCTGTCAATGTCATGCCAGTAATTTATTCGTGGATTACTTTAATTGAAAAACTGCCTATTTATTCAGCAATCCAAAAACCTAATTTGTGTAGCATTTTTGGGCTAGTGGCTTTACCGCTGCATTGAAACCGGTAAGTTTACCGGTACATACTTTAAGCGCTGGCAGACCAAAACCACCTTATGGCTCACGGCTAATCGGCTATGAATGTGTTCTGGGTCGCCAGTGTCCCTTCCACGGGAAGGGCTGCTCCTAAACAGGAGAAGGCGTTCAAGGAAGCCACCGTCATATTTCTCGGAGCAGTTCTTAACGTGATCGAAGATAAGTTGGTTGACCCATGTTTACATGTGCGGGTTGCCAAGGACTTGTGGGAGGCGCTCGAATCTAAGTTCGGCGCCACCGATGCTGGGAGCGAGATGTATATTATAGAGCAGTTCCACGATTACAAGATGGTCGAGAACCGTCCTGTATTGGAACAGGCTCATGAGATAATATGCATCGCTACGGAGCTTGAGCTTCTTAAGTGCGATTTACCGGGCAAATTTGTGGCGGGATGTATAATCACTAAACTCCCTAATTCCTGGAGGAACTTTGCTACCACTCTGAAACATCAGAGGCGTGAATTCTCAGTAGAGGATGTCATCGGCCATCTGAGTGTTGAGCAGGACTCGAGAGCAAAGGACTCGTACGGGAAAGGGGTCTGTCGCCAATATGGTACATCAGAGGAACTTCAACTCCCACAAGCCCAAGGGAAAGAACGGTGCCCAACAGAATACCGACTTTAAGAAGGGCAAGAAGACCTTCAAGAAGAACAAGAAGGGAGATGGCTGCTTCACTTGTGGTTCGGAGGAACATTGGGCCAACAAGTGCCCAAACAAGTACAAGAAGCCAGGGCAGGACTCCAAGTCTGCCAACATGATTGTGGGCAACAATGAGAATGGTGCATCTGGGTACGGTAATTTATTTATTGTATTTTCAATGTTTCAGTCCACCGATTGGTGGGTGGACACAGGTGCAAGTGTTCATGTGTGTGCGAACATTTCATTTTCATCTTACCAGGTCACAGGCCATGGGTCCGTAGTGATGGGGAATGGCGCGAGTGCTTCTGTTCATGGTGTTGACACGGTCAATCTGAAGTTTACTTCAAGTTTACTTAGGAAGGATCGTACAGCTGAAGAACGTGCAGCATGTCCCCGCCATCAAGAAGAACCTCGTTAGTGGCTCCCTTCTATGTAGAGAAGGGTTTAAGTTGGTCTTCGAGTCTAATAAATTAGTTGCTACGAAATATGGACTCTTTGTTTGAAAAGGTTATGAGTGCGGAGGGATGTTCCGCCTTTCCCTTGCATATTTTTTTAATAAAGTCGTGAACAATATTCATTCGAGTGTTAATGAATTTGAAGTTTGGCATTCACGTCTTTGTCACATTAGTTTCGGCGCTATGACGCGGCTAGCTAAGTTGAATTTAATCACGAGTTTCACTTTAGCCAAAGGTTCTAAGTGCCTTTCGTGTGTACAAGAGCTAAGCAACCTCACAAGCCTCACAAGGGTGCGGAGGAGAGACACTTGGCTGCATTAGAACTCATACATTCTGATCTTTGTGAGATGAATGTTGTGTTGACTAAAGGTGGAAAGAAATACTTTATGACATTGATAGATGACTCCACTAGATATTGCTATGTGTATCTGTTAAATACTAAAGATGAGGCTCTACACTACTTTAAAATCTATAAGGCAGAAGTTGAGAATCAACTTGAGAAGAA